GTAGCTGAGGTATTTGGTCTTTAGCCGTGAGCTCACCGTAGAATGGTTTGGCTTGGAAAGGACCTTAAAGATCATCTAGTTCCTGTTTTATAAAAGGCAAAATGCTGCCAGTAGATGAGACAAAGAAGTTTCTTTAATACTGATTCGAGGAGAATAGAGTTACAAAAGTACTAGGATCATAATGTTTTTTAGCTGCTGAAAAAAACATAATCACAGGTTAATGCCCCCCCATTGCCTGACACAATGCATGAGTGTCATAGGTGAAGTACACATTTAATGCCTTTTTCCAACTAACTTCAGATAATTGTGACCATTTCTTCTTTTGTTTGTTTAACATCGGTAAAATTTCTCATGTGTTTTTATCTGATTCCTTGAAGTCTGGTGTTAAATTATAGTATACTGTTGGATGTTCATAAATAGTAAAATTCTGTACCATTGGTGACTGTTTTCATTGTTGAATAAAATCAGTCTTGGTTATACTTACATACATCTATATTTCTACAAGGTTTAAATTTCTTCTCAGAAGAAAAAAAAAGTTGTGTAGATCTGATGGTAATTAAAACGCCATTATATTGGGGGGAAAAATGTGTTGGAACAATGAATGGTTTCAATTACTAAATAGGTTTTTGCTCGGAAGTTCTGGCCTCAGGCACAGAAAGGAGCTGACTATCAGGCAAAGCCTTTAAGCTCTCAGGTGAGTCAAAAGTCCTATGACCTAAGGCATGTACACGTATATATTTACGCAGGTCAAATGATTGCTTCATTTCTTCTCCTGGACTGAGAGGACTTGACCTCTTAGATCCAGGGTTAAATATACATTCTCTACTCTTTATTTATTTTTCCTTTTGGTCACGGGCATAGTACGATTTTTGCTTTAACTTCAGGGTTTTTTACCTGCTCTTTTGGACTTAGAAGAGAAAGAAACACTTGTGGGGGGAAAAAAATTCTACCTACGGATGTACAGTTCTGTAAAGGCAGCAGCACTCAAAAGGCCGCCTGAGACTTCTGTGTCTACAGATAGAGGTAAGGAGCTTGAGATATGGTTTAGGAAGATAGGTTTTTATGGCACAGTTGTGAGACTGCATCAGACGTTAATGTTTTCAGAACGTTAATGGTAGAGAGCAGGCTTGAGAGAAAATACTGTCTTGATGGGAAGCTAGTGGTGGTTGTATAGAGTTTGTGGAACTCTTAGCATGTGAAAATGGGCTCTAGTCTGAGATGTTACAAAACTTTAAGAGTCATTTGCTCATTTACAATTTCTCCTAGCCTCCTTGGTAGGGCTGTGCCTGGTTGAAGGTGGCTGTTGCTATTAGCAAAGTCTAGGAGTTGTTTTTCAGATGACATTATGTTCTGCAGTGCCTCTCCCAGCAGTGAGAATTGAGCAACCTGCATTTTGTTCCAGGTTTCCCTTGTGATCTTCAAGGCATATAATCTTTCTGTGTCTTGGTTTCAGCATTATTTATATACATTGTTTATAAAATAACATCTCAGGGCAACAGCTTGTTGTGAGCAGCATGCTCATATTTATGAGATTTTCGGAAACCAGTGTAAGCAGCAAAGACTTGCCCAGAGTGAGGGAAGGGGATGTCAGCTACTCTGTATGGGCTGGGATCTACTGCTTTCCTGAATGTGAAGCACTGTTTTGATAAATTGAGAGGCTGCTGATTCATTTAAGTTTTTGTTTGGTTTTTGTTTTGTTTTTGTTTTTTTTTTTCCCCGTGGTCTGATGGGAGCTCTTTCAGTAAATTTAATTTGCCTCTGCAATATGTTTAGGCTAGGAGGAGCTTGAGGGTGTAATAGAAGATGTTTATTTTTGTTTATAGTCTGTTCACTATTCATATTTAGGCAGTGTCAAACAGTTAATTTGGATTTGTAATTTGTAAATCCCAATTGATAAAGCTATAACGTGATTTAGTTTCAACTGTCATTGAGCTCAGCGCTAACATAATTTATGTTGTTGTTTTAACTGACATAATGTCAGTTATAGTAACAAAAAATATACCCTTACTAGCACCTAACTGTGTATCTATATTAGAAACATTTTCCACTTAAAGTATCCTGTAAAAACCGCTGTTCTGCTTATGGCTGTTTTGGAATACCACTGCTGGTTTGTTTCTTTGCAGTCACATTTGAGTGATGCTTAAAAAGTATTTTTCTTTTCCCTGTTCTTTGTGTATGAAAGATAGAAAATAACCTTTAAATAGGAATTATAATAATTAGCCACTCTCCAAGCCCAGTCAGGCTGGAAGAAAAACTTTCTCTCCATCAGATCTGTCTGATCTAACCTTGCTGTATTAGAGGAACTACCTCCTTTTTCTAGAGGGAGGGATTGAGGTCAGAGCTTTAAGCTTTTTCTCCAGATTATGAAATTATGTAGCAAATGTTGAGAAAGAAATAGTATTTGCTAGAATTTGTCATTGTTTTATTTGCTATAGTTACTCATTTAAATTGTATTTCTGTGGGCTTTTTCCTCTTCTCTTTGGCCCATAGTACAGTGTGAAGTTGTGTCTCTAGGACTGTGGTTTTATTAGGCCAAAACAGATTGAGAATTTTCACTTTAAATTCTGGCAGCTTTATAAATTTATGTGTTATTTTTTCCATTTGCCTCACTAAAATTCATAATGCCATGGAAGTAAGGTATGAAAACCTAAGTAAAGGTTTTTGTGGAATATGACATACCATGAGTAGTCCTTATCTCAGTAATACTGAAGTTTTGACTATATTTAATAAAAGAGCATTGAAACTGGACTCAGTGTTAGAACGCTCTATTTAAGGGATATTAATGATCCAGCAGCCTGAAAGCACTAGGAGATCTTCACTGTGTGCTATAGAAATTCACACCAGTGCTACCTGAAAAAGGACTATTAGCTTTTTTTGTTTGCATTAGAATTCGTAGACATTTCCTTCAGGGGAACAGATGGTACTGAAGTCAAAAGGTGTAATTAGTGTCAGTGTCAACCTAACTGGGGATTTTGTGGTGGAGATCTAACTGTCCTTTTATTGCGCCATAGGATTAGCAGAACACTTGGAGATAATGTTATGGTACTAATCTGTAAATTGTGCTATGATATATCAAAGGCTTTGAGAAGATAATGAATAGGTGAGTAATTAAATCACCATTACATACTGGGTCTTAACAAAGGAGTTGTGGAACATAATTGGTCTTCAGTGTTCATGCTGAAAACTGTAACATTAGGAAGGAGATGTTACAGGAAACAATCCAACCCTTGGGTACAAGAAGCCTCTTTGCAAGCGTGGAGAGATGCCACTCCAGATATGTTTCATTTCATTTACTGTTCCAAATTTGAGATTGTTTTGATGTAAGCAAGCCAGGCCTGAGGCATGTGACAGCTCTTTGGTTTTTTTGCTGGGATTCCAGATAGCAGTGAGCAAGTCTTAGGGGATTAATATTATGTCATCATGTCATCAAATAGCATCACAGGCTCCCAGGAAAACATGGCCTGTCACAGAGGTGCAATGAAATCACTGTTGCCCTGAACATTGTGTCCCTTCTTGCTGAGTGAACAGAGTCAGTTCTGGTTTGGTGGGGTTTTTTTTGGTTTTTTTGTTTGTTTTTTTTTTAGCCTCTGCTGGTTCTGGTGCAGCTTGCTCTGCTATCGTTTTTGCAGAGTTGCTCTGCAACTGCTCTGCCAGGCCAGCAGCACCTCTTCTAGTAGCACTGTGGCATCTTTTTCATCGTAACTTCCGCTTGGGTCAGTCAAGGTTTTCCCAGCAGTGCTGCTAAGTTGTTTTAAGTTCTTCCCAAACTCCTATTTTCAAACATCTTTGACAGTAACTGAGCAACAATTAATATTTCACAGAACAAATACTACAGATTTGGGGGGTTTATTTTGGCAGCATTGTTCTACCAGGAGTTCTGTTATTGACCTGAGTTTTCTAAGGTAGGTATTTTTCCAAGTCTCTCCTGAGACCAAGAGTGCTGGTCTGAGACAGTGACAATTTCTGAAAAATATTTGTGGCTGGGCGTTTCTGCTCTTTAATGACTCTGAGTTCTGGTCAGTGGTGATTTTGGTTTCACCTGTGCTGTTGAATACATTGGATAGACATTCTGAGTGTGTTCTTAACATACATGGATGTTGAGATACCCGAGTGGAAGGGGAAGGACCAGTTATTTATTGTGATTTTTGTGGCTATATATTGATGAGCTTGTGTTTTGGTATATTCTGGATTTTGTTCAGTATCTGTTGGTCTATGGGAAGCTGATAATGTGGTGGGAAATGGAAAACTTCTTACATGATCGCTTTCCAGTGTAAAGAGGTATGTGAAAGGCTCAGAAAAGTTAGTAGAAGTTTTTCATGATTCTGTTTTTAATAGGTTTCCATCCACCCAAAAATACGAATATATGCATGTGAACATGTAGACTAATCTAATTATAGTGCACCTCCCCTGTCCTAAACAGCACAGCAGGTATTAAATATCCAGGGCATTAATGCAATAGCCAGTTGAAGCTTGTGCTGTTGCAAATCATGTGCTGGAACATGAGAACGTTACAAGAATCATAGAATGGTTTGGGTTGGAAGGGACCTCAAAGCCCATCTAGTTCCACCCCCCCTGCCATGGGCAGGGACACCCTCCACTAGCCCAGGTTGCCCAAAGCCCCATCCAACCTGGCCTTGACCACTGCCAGGGAGCCAGGGGCAGCCACAGCTTCTCTGGGCAACCTCTGCCAGGGCCTCAGCACCCTCATAAGGGGAGGCAACATAGTTACAGAGTGGGCAATAATATTGTCTTCCTCAGAAAGGGTGAGCCTTTCTGAAGGAAATATTTGGGTGGTTAGGAACGGTTACCAAATATTTTAACCCATCCGTACCTATTTGCAAATCTGACTTGGGGGCACACCTGAAAGGTTACAGTGAAAGTACTGGAAGCCAGCTGTGGATGAGATTAATTATTTGTGAGTGTTTGTAACATCAGCTTTTATATGTTGCTAAGGATTCTTGCATTTTTTTTTTTCCTCTCATTCTAGTTTCTCCTTCTGGCTTTGAGAGTGTTGCTCCTATAGAAGAGGATCTGAACGGCAGGCTGATGAACGAAGACATACGTATCCATAGCTGGCCTTGTTCTTACTACTTGGACACCGGTAAACAATGGGTTTCTGGCAGACTCTCGTTGACTCCTGTTGCGATCAAATTTGTAGCTGACAAGACTGGGGAGCTTTTGGTCAACTTCCATCTTTCTAGTATTAGTGAGATCAAGAAGGAATCTTCAAATTTAATCTTCAGCTCCCTTACCATCTTAGAGAAGAACACCAAGCACTGGTTCAGTTCTCTGCAACCCAACAGAAATGTGGTATTCAACATCCTTGAGCACTTCTGGAGGGAGCAGTTGCTGTCAAGCCAAGGTGCAGGAGCAGAAGCAGCAGCTTTGCAGTCAACAAAGGGAAGAGAACTGACCGGGTTATTGACTGGATCACAGAAACGACTGGAGGATACAGCAAAAGTGCTGCATTACCAAGGCGAGCAGTTTGATAACATCATGAGAGGACTCAACAAGATCGAAGGGGATATGGATGTAGCTGACAGGTACGGTACCACAATCAGTGCTGTGGGATTGTGTTGTTCATGCCTGAAATTTATGGGGCAGATCCACAGAGGTCTTTAGGAAACTGAACTGTTGACTGTCAGTGAAAGTTTAAGTCCATGGTGATCTTTTGTGGATCTAGTTCTTGTTACGAGATGTTTCTGTATTTCTGTCCTCCGTTCTGTGTGACATTTTTTCACCCTAGTGAAGTTGTTTGTGTATATATACCTGCTCTCTGTCCTTCAAATAACTTTTTCAAGCCCCTATGAGTTTCACCACAACTGGCGGAAATGGTGGAGATCTCCAAAACATTAACAACTTGTAAGTTTTGAGAGAATAGGCAACTAAGTAGGGGAGAGAGATGCAAGTTAATATCCCCGCTGAAAGACAAGGCATAGCAATCGCATTTTTATTAGCTGCATAGAATATGCATAAATGAAAAATACTGGAAGTTGGCTTTGGTTAATTTTGCCAGTCCTGGACCAGCCTGTTTTGCTGTTCCACAGCAAATACAACCATGGTTCTGCTTTTCTGGTTCTTTTCAAAGGAAAAAAAAAGCAGGTGGGCTGCTGACTTGGAGGCAGTTTCCTAGAGTTATTAGGAGACAGTGGCCAATTAATCTTTAGTTCAAGTAGATTGTACTCCTTTCTCTGTCCATGAAAGTCAGCTCTTGAAGCTGCTTTTTGCATACACAGTGTGTGGTTGAGGGCTTTATACTTGCCCTTTCCTTCATGAGAACTTACTTCCCAGCTACACACAGCAGCAAGGATTGGGTCTGTGGTGCGGATGTAGTTGGGGAAATGGCTGTAGAAACAACGTTCCTTTCTTTATGCTATAAAACTGCACTGCTTTTGATCTTGCATGGAATACTGCCTGCCTTTAGGTCTAGGTGGAATAAATACATTTGGAGGAAAAAAATGAGCGGTGTTGAGCAACAGTGGACTGCTGAGCTTTGTCTGCAGAGTGTGGTGGTGCAAGAACTGGAGAGACAGTTCTAGGCTATTAGTGGTAATCTCAGTCAGGCACTTAAGCCAGTGCATTCATAAAAATTGGCCACAAAGTGCTGCCATTAGACAACCGAAATAAGGGATTCGGAGCATTTGAGATGTTGTTTAACTTTAGCTGTCGCAGAATTTAATGTGAATAGTAAATGGTTGGTGTCTTAATCAGAGTTTTACTATTTAATGATTAACATTCAAAGTTCATTATTCTGTGGTATTTTGCATGCTGCAGGTTGGATTCAACAGCAGTCCGAAATAGTAAGGTTAAGAGTAGTATTGTAATGTTTAAAGATATATAGCTATGAGTGTCTTCGTATAAGCTCTGACACCTGCATGAAGAAACAAACACAATAAAGTTCAAACTAGTTGTTTTTGGAAGAAGCATCTGGTTTTGGACGGATATCATGTCTAAAAGAAAGTGTTGATTTCACAATGATTCTGTTGATATCCTCCATACTCTTTAATAAAAAGCCAAGATAACTGAAAGCTTCAGAAATAGCTTTTAAAGTTCTGTAGCAATAAACAATGAGTAGGAAAATAAATACCTGCTCATTGTTTTTGGAAGAGAGTTTTGTTTTGGGTTAAGATGCACTGGGAGGTATTATTTGTCCTCATGAAGCTGAAGAGCTAGATGCTTTGATTTAAAAATGGAAAAATAAAGGAAAAGCGACTGAACATTAGCAGTGATTTTGTTTTATATACAGTATGAAGAGTTTGGCCAGCTTGTTCGCAGGCCAAAACGCAGCCCAGAATCCATTAGCCAAACTGTGTTTTAATTGCACTATGCTTTTTGGGGAGTTCTGATACTTTTTCACATAGTGCATGTGTTCTCATAAAGCTGCTTCCCCCTTGCCCAAAGTCTTCTCTTAAACTGATGATGTATTTCTTCATGTCCCGAACCAATGTAGGAAATGGAGAGGACTGTGATTGGAGCTCATTTGATTGTTACATTTTGGGTAATTCAGACAATTAACATTCATAAATATGCTAATGTCTATTAATGCTCTTTGACTCTTGCTTTCTTTAGAAACTTGATGAGAAGTAACTACATGGATAATACCATGCAGGACTATTTTGCATGTGGAGCAGATTTTGTGCAGAAGGAAACTTTGATAACAAGTTTCTTGTGTCTGCTAGTTCAAGTTTATATGAGCGACACCAGTCTGATGGTGGTGTCTTTCATAAAAAGAACCAGGCCCCTTTATCTACTTTCATATGTTTAAAACTTTGATTAACTTTATCTTGTCTGTATGTGTGGGCTTCTTTGGATTATTAATTCTGTTCTTGTGTATGCCTGGGTATATACAGCTGCTTTCAGTGGAACTGTGTGCAGATAAGCAGAGCTGAGTCTGACGTACTAGCAGATGTTCAAAGACCAAAAATAAACAGAACACCAGATTCACTGGTTCCGTTTTAATATGTTACTATTAGAGGACAAGGTACTCTGGTTGCAAATTTTCATTTGTATATAAGGACCAGTCACATAGTTTGTTGATACAGTGGGGTGACTCTTCCATGGAAGGCCAGAGAAGTTGGCTGAAGCCTTTGTTAGGGTTGTGCAGCAGAAAAATCTTGACTGTAAATCAGACCTTGCACAGCCAGGATATCAGTCCCTGGGGAAAGAGGGGAGGAGACGAGTGAAGGGATAAAATGATAAAAATTAAGGCTCAAAGCTATCCAGAATAAGTTACCACAATGTAAACGGAGGTTTAGACTTGTCACATTGCAGCTGCTCTTCAGTAAGTGAATGCACATGCTTTTCTCATGGTGAATGTGATGAAGCAAACCTATATTGCAGTAGGAATTTAATGACTTTTCAGAGGCTGAGACACAGGCATAAGCTGTCATTGCCCTGAAGTACCTTGTTGTAACTCTTTCACACACCAAGAGGACGAAAACATGCTTTGTGTTCTGTAGAAATGACATCAGGTCATTTGTTTCTGTTTAGTTACAGCAGGTAGGTTAGAGCGTGGCTTTTAATTTGGAAGATGGTGTGTGCTAGCAGAGCCTAGGGCTTTTTCGGTCCTTCTCTGTGTTGAACTTCAGTTGAACCTCATAGTTTCAGAATTCAGCCCTAAATCTATGATACTGTGCCATTTCAAATTCTGTTATTGTAGAGCTTTCTGTTACATCTCCTTTGGTCTGTTGTCTTTTATTTCCCCTTTTTTTTTTTTTTTAAGGAGTGTTGCAGCATTTTCAGAGGTCAGCGGCAAGCTCCAGACCCATTACTCATCTTGCATGCTATCTACATAAATATCTGATGTTCATGCTTTAGTTGGGAGTAGATTCTTGGAACAATTCATTCTGCCTCAGCTATCCATGAATTCAGTGGTTGACTCACAATATGATTTTTTTTCTGCTTTTCCTAGCAGATTAATTTCTTTGAGTAGGTCTGCTTTGAAGCTGGTGTAGAACTTTATGGTTAGTAAACAAAGCGTGTTCAGTTAGAGCTTCCTCTTTCAGATTAGACTTTGTCTGCAGCCAAATTAAACAGGATTTTAAAATTGTAAAGTCTTCTGTAGACACACTCTGATTCTCTCATGAAAAAGAAATCATTACAAAAAGTATCTTGAGAGCAGCACTGCTGTGATGCATATTTTATAAGGCAGTACCTTTCTAGAGTAAACTTAAAAGCAAATTAAATCAAGCTGGCTCTCCAAAATAGCAATGAAACAGTAGTCTTTTGTATTTTGGTCTGATAAGGCTTGCATCTCTAGGATTTAAGTCAGTAAATAGTCTTTTGTAGCATCAGTAAGATGATGATGTTTCATTAAACATTTAATTACATGTGGTCTGGCTTCATTAGAAGCATCTACTACTACCACCATGCCAGTGGCATATTCCTAGTCACTGGGAAATTTTCTGATCACTGGGTAGTCTTTAAGGTATTCATGGGATGGGAGGGGGCACAGTTCTGACCTGGGTTGAACTTCCTTAGAAGTTTTTTCTTTTGTTTAAAGGTAACCTCTTCCCTCCCATTAGTGAATTGAGAATCCATTTGTACCTCCAGAGATGGCTTTCCTGTTCCTGCTCAGTGACTGATGCGTGGGCTGAGAAATCTCCATTTAAAACATCCCGATCAGGCTAGTTGCCTGCAGGCTGGCTTGGTTTGTGGGATGATTCCAGCTAGCTTACTGCTGTTTTCCAGTGGGGATTGGGTAGGGTTGTTTGAGCAGTGGGTCCCAGAGAGTTGACTTGCCTCTTCCTGTGCCTGTCTGCAAGTGGAGACGAGCCACTGCGGCTCAGATGCAAGATACCAGGGGCTGCTGGCGAGTGAGGGAGGGAGGAGGTGGCTGGTTGTGCAGTGGGAAGGGGAGAGATGAAGTTACTGTTGACTGAGCAGGGAGACATAGTTTACCCCAATATTTCTTTCCAGCCACTGAGGCTGAGTCATCCTGAAATACAGGATCCTCTGCTAGCAGGATGGGTTTAAGTGACAGGCGGGGGATGAGAGGAGAATAGGATAACTGGGGCATCATAGTGCTTAGACCCAAAGAGATCTGTGATCGTGATCCTTTCTTGGGAGAGGACCCTAGAAAAGGGGAATGGGCTATGCCGATAGAAAATACAACAGAAGGATCGTGTCCTACTTATCATTGATTCTTCCTAATGGCGTGTTACATCTTTCTTGCCTGCAGCTGATAACCTTAGGCACCTATTTCAGTGCATCTTCTTGCTTAGCAATAAGGAGCCCGACTCCATGTATTAGTTCTGGTTATACAGTGTTCTTCCTTGGGAGCAGTTGCTTAATTCCTCAATAAAGTGAGTCTGGTTACCTTTAAGCTAAGGCACGAGTTTGCCAGCAAGAAGGCCTGTCTCAATTAGGAGTGCACCAACATCAATGGTGAGGTGGATGCTAGACACCAGCGGGCATCTCTGATGGGCTTTTTGGCCTCAACCTTGCGCTCTTAGGGTTTTAACTGGCAATGGGAATTTGGGACTGGGGGCAAACCAAAAGCTAGCATCAGACTATGGGGCTGAGATATAAAGGAGTAGAAAAGGGCAGTGGTGGTGATGGCCAAGTGTGGAAACATTGAGGGGAAAAGGCAGTGTTTAGTTGAAGAACAGATGGGTGCAAGTTGGCCTGAATAAATCAACTTGGAAGTTGGGTTTCTCACATCAGAACAGTGAGATTCTAGGACTGCTTTCTGATGTGTTAGCAAATGAAGAAAAGCTGGTTTTCAAAATGGGTGGATTCTGGTAAGCTGTGAATAGGTTTGAGGAGCGAAATAGGACAGGGTTGGATTCAGTATTAAGAAATCTGTGTCTGCGGTAATTTGCTTTGAACTGGTGGGGTAGCATGACCGTCCTACTGGCTTTCACCCTTCTAACACTCTCTTTTCTCCTCTAGGTTGTTGACCGAGCTCGAATCTCCTTCTTGGTGGCCGTTTAGCAGCAAGCTCTGGAAAGCGCCATTGGAAAGCAAGCCAAAGGAAACTGCCACAGTTTCCGATTCGAAGAACCAGGAAGGAATCATAATTAGAATTCCAGTTATTATCACCCACAGAACAGACTCAAATGTCAAGCCAGGAAAACTCACACTCTTCGCTTCTGGCCTAGAAATCAGTGACTGCAATTCTCAGGTCATTCACCGGTTTGAATCAAAGGATGTGGATGATATCAGAGTTCATACGCCATATGAAATCAGTGTCCGTCAGAGATTTATTGGGAAGCCTGACACCTCTTACCGGCTCTTGTCAGCAAAGATGCCAGAAGCGATCCCCATCTTGGAGATGCAGTTTAGCAAGAAGATGCAGTTTTTAGAAGATGCCCTAGGATTTGTTGGTGCCAGGAAGTCTCCTCAGGTAGATTTGGGGACTTCCATTTGGCAAGCAGGTATGTAACAGACAAAGCAATCCATCTGTAAGCAGTAATGCTAGCACCCAAAGTTTCCAAGTGGTTTTCAAACTCAGAATAGCGTATAATATTTACAAGGCAAATCCTCTCCACGTGGCCCCAGTGGTGAGACCACACTGATGATAAAATGCAGGAAGTAACTGCTAGGTGACTTCAGGCCCTCTTGCCAGGGGGGAGAGGGTAGAGATGACAGAAGCATGTGGCCCTGTTTTAGTCTAGTTGGATTTACTTTTTCCCAACAACATTAGCAAAACCTGTGACTGTAGGTCCTGAGGCTGAGTGTCCCTCAGGAGCCTGACAGCTGGAACATGCCAAGCCCTCTTTAACATTGTGCTCTCAGCTGGTGTTGTCACTAACTCCACACCACATTGTGCAAGGATTAGCTTAATTTCAGTTTCAGCTACTGGCCTGTGTCTTAACTACGATGTCATTCTTTTTCTGGTGGTCACCAATTCAGTATTGTGCCACTCTGTGGGGAAGGGTCATTAGAAATCCATTCTTTTCCTGACTGCATGCTTCAGAGTCCTCCATCACTGCTCTTTTTCCTTTGGCATTTTGTAGCTGGAAGCATATTTATGTTAAACCAGTCGTTCGGTTAACTGTAGACAATTTAAAAGAAATTTCCAGTTCAGCAAGTTTTTAAATAACATATGGGATAAACATCATGTTAATTTTCATATCTTAAAAATAGAATTTTGTTATTTGAGAAGTTCAGGTGTTTGGATTTAGGAGATTTTAGGTCTCCAGATTAGGTGAATGCATAGTTTAATCATTTTAAGAAAACACAGTGGAGACTGAAACACTTTTCACAACAATAAGAATTACATTCCTTACTACTATTACTACTTCTAAAATTCCAGGGAGGGTTGTTTTTTTTGTAATCCAACCTTGGATTCATTTGGAGAGCTGGTGAATTTTTGTCTGTTAGGAATTTATTTCTATCAACATACCTGAATCCTTCTTTTTTCCTAATTCTTAGTGACAAAAGAACAAATCAGTGGATGGATTTATTGCCAGTATGTTGAAAACAAGTAGAAAAATGATACAATGAAACAATAGATGAACCTATTTTTGTGCACCAAGCTAAAACCAGACTTCAGCAGGGAGGATAATGTCCTCTTGTTGACGAGTCGTCAAGGGCCATAGCTTGGAAAAGCTTGTTAATTTTTAAGGAAGTAAGTCTTGGGCATCTGGCACTAAAATGTCAGCACAACAACTTGGAGGAAAAACAACCTGCTGGTTTCTTAAGCACTGAGTTATTCCAGCAAATTGATGTTCAGTTCCTGATGGTCTTAAGGCTGGTTACATAAAATAATTGGTTATACAGCCCTACTGCACTTAATTTCCCACTGCTCTGCTCTGTTTGCATCTGAGTCAGTGAGTCAAGGATATTGCTCTCCTGCCCCCACCTGCATTTTGACTGTTTAATTTGGAAATGTCAGTAAAGAAAACTGGAGGTTATGGAAATCCTGACTTCTCCAGCTCCACCAAAACCCTTGTTTGTTCCTTCCCCAGAGTCTGTTGCCATCTGTCTTCTGTCGCAAGATGGCAGTCACGGACTGTGTTTTAACCTCCGGGTTTTTTCCATGGCTGCTCACATGTTGGAAATACTGATTTTTGATTTGTTTTCTTTTTTTTCTTTTTTTTCCCTTAAAAGCAGGTTTTTGGGGGGGGGGGGGTAAGTCTGTTGTGCATGCCTGCCTTTGTACGCATAAAATATATGTGTCTGTTTTCAGATAGCAAATGTTGATCAGAGACTTATAGGTGAAATATCCTTGCAGCGGAGGTACATCTGTCTCGGCGAACTGGCTCGTAGTGTTCTTTGCCCTTGGTGCTGCAGCTCAAAGACGTGAACATTTCCACAACTGTCATAGTCTCATCTGGATCCTGTCTGTTTATACTAGTCCTGCCTTAAAGCTGTGCATATTGCACATTTATATAAGTAAATAGAAAAACTTGTCTTTCCTAAGAGTTTTGGCTTGATGCCACCTATAAGAGGAATTTGTGAAGAGTTTTAGACACACCAGATTATTTGAAAGTATTTTTAGCTGCTTTGCATGTCTTTTCTGATTGTATTTTTTTTGGACCAAGCCACATGGGTGTTTAAATGCTCAGGACAGAGCAGTGAGATTTGTTTTGTAACAGAGGTTCTTCTGTACTGGATCAGGCCAGTACTTTCCTAGCCAGTAACATCCTCAATAATGGCTGATAACGGTTACCCAGGATTAAAAAGTGCAAGAAATCCTATGGTGCGTGTGCAGTATAATAGTCTAGGGCAGTGCTGTCTTAATCCTATAGCTGGAGACTGGCATTCGCAGATTTTTATCCCTTTCGAGGCTGCCGAATTTCTCCTGCTTACCCCTGTGACCGAGTGTTCTCGTTATTACGAGTTTCCAGAGCTTTGTTCAGAGGTTTGGTAGCTTCTTGTCCTCATGTGGTGGCAGCGAGTCTCGCAGTCCAACTGGGTGTAACAAAAATGGACTAAAATTGCTTTTTAAATGTTTCTGCCTTTCTATTCAATTCTCGCCCTCTTTTAAACTAGAAAATTGCTGGGAAATACCAGCTCTCCTTCCTCATCCCATTCTTTTTGTGTGCCTTTGTCATATCCCCCTCCTGTTCTTGTCCTCAGCGAGATTAATGGAGTGAAATGGATAGATTTATTGTTTTAATGAAATAATTAGCATATGGTGACACTCAGCTGATAAGAAACACAAAGAATCTTGTCTGGCTCTTTGCTGCCATAGGAAGGTCTGTCATTCCCTCCCCACTTTGTCCTCCGAGGGAGACCACGACAGTAATTTTACCATAAGCAGCGTTTTTCAGTGCCTGGTTCTTGGCCCCTCTGAATACAAGGAGCATTTGCACAGGGTAACATTAGTACAGTGAATGACTTGCTTGTCTTAAATCTTGATGGTGCCTGAGTCCAGTGACTCTCAGGCTGATAACTGAATAATTCCAGGGATTATGAGTTTGCAGTAATTACTTGAGAGGGATTTAGGGTTTGGTACTTTTGGTTTAGCTTTTGTCTCCTTTTTCACGGGGAAGTAATGCTATCCAAGGCGGTCAGGTGTACACCGTCAGTTGGCCAGCCAGCTGGGCACCAGTTCTTCAACCTGGCGGTGAACTCTGGCATCTGAGGTGCTTTCAGTCCTGATGTATATAAGAGCTGCTGTTGTCCTGTGCTGGGTCAGACCATGTGCTCATGGGTGACAGAGGTAGCGTTAGCTTCCTTCTTGGTACCTCTTTAATTGGGAGAGCTTTGGAGATGTTTGAAATGCTTCTAGGAGCCAAGATGTGTGTCTCGGGTGTTTAGCACCCATCTGCATCAGAAATAACAACCTTTCCTTGCAGCATGTCCCTGCTACCCTGCTGGGTAGTATCAGATACTGCAATAAGAGCTGATGCTTTAAATAAAGGACAGGTGGCATGTTACACGAGGGATTGCATCCACACTGCTTAGCTGGGGGTGGCTGTTAGCGTCAGTGTTGCCCTTCTGTTTCAAGGGTTTGCTGACTTGACTCTTAGGCTCTGTCCCCGATCCATCACTTTTAAATTCTTTAATTAAAAAGATTAAAGAGAGAAGAAGCAGCAGCAGGTGGAGAATCCATGTTTATCTGATTGGGAGTGTGTTGCTGCTGCTTCGTTCTCTGTGCAGATGAATCCCCACAGCCTAAAATGAACCCATTCTCCAAATGTGACCTTTAATAATAAGTCATCTCTCGCAGCCTGGTCACCTCCAGGTTAGGTGTTGTACAAAATATAGCTTGAATCCTTTCTAGAAGAACATAGCTTAATGGGCAAGGTTGGGTTAGGCTTGTCCCCTTGCAAACTGTTATGGAGCAAAGCAAAGGTCAACCACTTTGATACTAGCACTAGTCCTCCCCAATGGTACAGGAGATGGCAGTCTGACCATGGGAATTTCTCTTGCAGCCACAGGACTCCTGGGAGGTGTGGTGCAGCCCAGCTCTCCGGTGGGAGGCAAAGAAGGGATGGACAGTGAGCAGGTTCAGCTGCAGAAGCAAGAGAAGATCTCCCAGGAAGAAGCAAAAGAGCTTAAACAGGTATAAGTTGAGATAACTTTGAGAAGAGTTGTTTCACTCCCTCTTCTTCCTTTTACATGCATTTTCATCATCAGAAACATAGTCATTGTCCTTAACAAAATATCCCTCTCCCTAAATTTAGATAGGCATATTTTAAAAATTAATCAAGCCTGTGATTAAAATACACTGATAACTTCAGATTTGTTTTTAACTATTTTGAACAAGTCAGAAATTATCAACAAAATATATTAAGTGATGGGATTATAACCCAAGGAAAATCCTTAACCGTAACCTGTTTTTTCCGAAGATTAAGCAGTTTAACAATTAAGTCATTTTCAGGTTTTTTGTTTTCCCTATGCTATCTTACCCTTTTTAGTAAGGAGTAGCGGTTCTATTTCAGAAACATCCACAAAGCTGAATAAAGTGTTTTATAATCACACAGAGAGAACTTGTAGTTAGGAAATTAGTATGCAGTCCAGCAAATTAATAAAGGGGAAATAGGTTGGAGATTTTACTAGAAAAAATTATTTATTTAAAGTAATCCAGTCTGATATTGTTTCTCTAAATGGCTCTTTAAGGAATTTCTCTCATAGCTGATGTTCAGAACTTTTAGTGAAGAATCCCTCATTGTACTATGTGGTTGATCTGAAACAGTGAAGTAACTCGAAAAGCAAGAGAGTATGGTTTTAGTGGGTTTTCCATTAAAATAGGTTTAATGGTGATGGTTACAGCCACATCAGAAGATGTGGTTGAAGATTGAACTTTATTCTTGATATTTTTTTTCCCTCTAGCATCTTATTCTCTTTAATATTCCATCTCTAGCTTGGTGATAGTGTCATGTGAATTTTCTAACTCTGTTGCCTCTTAGCCAAACCTACAGTTTTCTAGCCCCCTTCTTTTATTTTATAGTTGAGAATTAGAATACAGCAACTTCTGTTAGCTTGAGTGCATCTGAGAGTCACAAGTACTGGCTTATGGCTCAAAATGAAATCTTCTTGCAAGGAAAATCTATTTATTAAAATTAACCAAAGGCAGTTGGGTGAGAGTTTAACCTTTGTTGAAGGTTAATTTCAGAAATTTCTGAAATTCTCTGTGCTGGATAGTGGACAGTGTTAAATGGCCATTATTTAAAACAAAACACTTTCAAGATTAACTAGCGCTCAAAAGACAATTCTGGTATTTATTTATACCACACCAAGCCAAGAATTTTTAAGCCAGTTAATGATTCGGGGTGAGTTTGTGAGGTGGTGTGGGTGGGGAGAGGATCTGAATGCCAAACTGACAGGCCTTGAATTGGCCTAATTTTTTCCCAATAATTGCTGAGCACCTGTTCCCTGAGAGTCAAGCCTCTTTAATCATCATTCCAGTCATTAATAATTTTAAGGTACATGCTGTAATTACTATAAACTCCTGTTCCTTTTCCTTACTAGGAGTCACTGCATAAATACACAGTTTTAGACCAAAACTTGCTTCTATAACCAAAATATAATCAAGATCTTTTGACTGAAATATCTTATTTGGGCTTTTTCAAAAACAGAATGGACTATTCGCCATTTAATCATTCTCCCTTCTCATATTTTAAGATTATCTCCACAATCTATCACTTTATCAAACAATAAGCATTTTCTGAAGCAGCGTTGACCTTTTGGAGGATTTTAAGGGAGAGTATTTCTCAATTGTAGCTGTACAAATATCAGCAATCTATTATTCATGCATGCATACACTTTGTACAGCTGTTATGTATTCAGAAAGGCTAGTTGTTCCTTCCTTAAATGTCAGCTTTTCACCACTCTATTCTGACTTGTAGCCAGACCGAAAAAAGCTAAATACGGTAGAAAGGGTTGTTGGTCATGGACTACTGTTGAAGACACTTTTTGTTCCACCTTGCAAAAAAAAAAAAAAAATCTCTAAGAATTGCTTCCTGAGGGCCAGTTCTTCACATGAACACCAACCTTTGTTGGTGCTTGATATTATCAAAGCAGTTGGTTGTGATGGGGGAAGCAGAGGATGAGGAGTTCAGCATATTCCAACAAATCTTGTGAATTGGGAATGAAGCCTCTCATTTTATATAGACTGGTGTGTCTCCAGCTGCTCCCAGGAGTTGTCCAAGCACTGCTTTTTCTTACTGCTCTAAAGTGCAAAGCAGAGTGAAATAGCTCAGGATCTTTTGGTTTTGTTAGGAGAGAATGTGGTGAGGTTTAGAGGGAAAGTGTAAAGATGTGGAAGTGAAGGAAAGTATGATTGTAGGGAGGAGTTCCCACCAGTAAATTGGATTTGAAAGGTACAGAGGCTGGAGATGTATTCAGGGACAGCATCACGGTAAGTGGCAATGGTCTCAAGTTGTGCCAGGGGAAGTTTAGGTTGGATATTAGGAAAAAGTTCTTCACTGAAAGGGTTGTCAGTCACTGGAACAGGCTGCCTAGGGAAGTGATGCAGTCACCATCCCTGGAGGTATTTAAAAGATGTGTAGGTGTCGTGCCTAGGGACATGGTTTAGTGGTGGACTTGGCAGTACTGGGTTAACAATTGGACTTGATGATCTTAAAGGTCTTTTCCAACCAAAACAATTCTATGATTCTAAACACCATACAAAGCCTTTTGCGTATTGAACCCTTGGAAGCATGGAGGTGAAGATCTTGAAACTACATTTGAGCAAGATATTTAATGCTTATCTAAGGTATGACAAGGCTTTTTCTAAGGTTATATTTGCAATATTCAGTCATTTTATAGTTAGGAAGTGGGTTAAGTCCTTAAATAGAAAGCAGGGCAGGGAACCAGGAGCTTTATCTCCTTTTCAGCTGTGTGGCCTTAAGCAGTCAGTTGTGAGCTAGGTTGTAGGGTACTTGCTAGGTTGTAGGGTTGTTGCTGAGGTGTAGCCTGCTCCTTTGTCCTTTTTTCTCCAAATATGTCTTCTCAGTGAGCAGTACACATAGTCATTTTACCCCACAGCGAGGGCTTGTCTTCCACTGATGCAGTTGCTCCTTTGCACTGCTTCAGTTCAGCTCCCACTTTGGGAACGAGCAGGATGATGGTTAATTACGTTTGCAAAGCATTTAGAGAGTAAAGGGGGAAAACTGTCAAAGTGGAAAGCATTAACATGCATTGAAGACAACGGTACTTGTGTCATCACTCCTCCATGAATGAATTAAAGGTATTTGAGGTCCTTATGTTGATAACTACAGCATTTTCCTGAGCTGTTTCCTCTCAAGTATTATGATCTTTTATTCTTTGATTATCTGTCATGCAAGCACTTCTTTTTGAAAAAAGCAAAACAAAATCATAAAACCCAGAAGGGCTCTGCTCCATCTCCCTCATTACTTGTGATGTAAGTCCAGCAGAATTTTTGAAGTTGGAGAGGAGGAATTTGTGATGAACAAAAACTAGTTGTCTCTTCCTCTCTCCTCAAAACCAAAGTACTCTCAGTAATAACAATAGATGTTTTGCAACAGGAATTCTTGAATGATACTAAATTCCCTCTATTAGAGCTGGAAGCCCTGAGCGATCTGCAGTTGCGATTGGGTGCCTGAGTAAACGACCTCACCAGGACTCCATGAAGGGAGGTTTATGTTAAAAACCACAGAGTTTGTGGCGGTGTGAGCTGCGTTCCGTAGCTGTGCTATGGAGATGGAGGAAGAAAAGCCTACGAAGGTCCTGTGGTCTCTGGCTGAGCTGCTGATTCCCGCCTCGCTATGGCTGACATAATGGCACTGGGTGTGGGAGGGGGTATGATAATATTAGCTTAAGGGCTGTGGTTGGGGGGGGCGGAATTCACTAAATTTGAATTTATTTTGCCAAACCAGTGCTTTCTAATTTCTGAAACTGTTCCTCCCAAAGAACTGTTGCCTGATATTTACTGTCTGCAGATCGTGTATGCCATGAAGACAGAGATAGTATTAAAGAAGTTAATTCTGTAACACTGGGGGGAAAAAACACATCCCAGTGCATATCTTTGACATTTGCTTCCTCGATGTCTTCTTGGGTCTAGATGGCTCCATTTCAGTCCTTTGCTACTTTCAGAGCCTCTTCAGTGTTTATTTACCCTTTTATCATGCCTTCATTTCAGGAAATCATAACCGTTAGGTCAGAGAAAAAGTGTTTTGTTAAGGAACCATTCATTCCAAGTGCTAAATACCAAATTTGCTCATAGGGTTGCCTTGTTCCATGGCCTATAGTGATCAACAGACAACTGATCTTAACAGACACATGTAATGACCATGCCCAGGACTTATTTTTTTGGACAGGATAATACAGGGAGAGAACTGAGGTCTTTACAAATAACACTTTGTATTTGCTTGTGTGTAACTTAAGTATTTAATGGTACCAAAATAAAAGGTGGTAGTTAAGCCTGTAGAGCTGCTTGAGTTTTTTTTTTTTTCCAGGCGAGGCCAGTGCTATGTTAGCGGCACCATGAGTGCTTAGTACTCCCAGAGAACGTAAGTGAAATCAGACTTCTGTATCAGTCCAAGAAGAATTATTGAGAAATCAGCCACTAAGAATAAGATAGTAAACTGTAACCCTTACATACTGTCCAAATAGCAACTGGCTCAAAAGAACAGATGCTTTAAAATTTGTCTGCTTTTATGTACTTCAGATACAAGGGACCTGCTGTCCTGCCAAACTTGCCTGTTCCTGTGTTTTCTGTGCTCAGAAGTTTTGTGCTACAAGAGACAGCCTGATTTTCTGGAGCAGGCAGGAGCACTTTTGCTAGTGGGTGGTGTAGAGCTTGAGTATTTGTACACCAGCTGCAACTCTGGAAGAAGGTGAAGGGAGATCTGTGCTTTGCATAGCTACATGCAAGTGCTGGTAGTGGCAATCCCAAACAGGAAGCATGTTAAAGCAACACAAATCCATAGATTTTTGTTATGGTAAGTTGCACTTGTCTCATGAGGCATTGCAAATGTCCTCTAGCAAATTGTTGCAGCAGTTTAAGTTGTTTCTGCTCTCTGCTGTCTCCCTGCCCACTTCCACATGTAGCAGGAGAGGATGTGGACAGGCCTCTTTTTGGTGCAAGATCACTCAATC